TAAGTAACAATGGAAGTGTTACATAACAATGGAATTGTTAAGAGAAAGCGACGTGCAAGATTTACAGGCGCAGATGCAGTTTTTTTGTTTTTGCGGGAAATCAAACATATTTTTAGAACCATCTAAAAATTCTCTAATTAGTCTGGAAATAAGGGGACCCAATTCTTGCATTCTGTGAAAACGGGTAAGGTTGACTGTAACGTAATAATCTTTATCTTAGTTATCGTTACTTTTGCCCGAGCAATGCTGGGCCCACCTGCTAGTAATTTAATATTTATTAAATAATTTAGAATAGTCTGGGAGAAAAGAATTGGCTTGGAACAGGATTCAAACCCACAACTCTTGCTTATTGTGCAGTTGCATTGCCAGTTATGCTATCCAGACCTCCAAGTGATTCTTTGCTTCCAGACACATTTAATTCTTGATATAACATCCATGGTTATGCAGAGAAGTCGTCTTCAGTTGGCACTGTGAGTAACTATGGATGGTTATATCAAGAATTACTGGAAGTGAAGAATTACTTGGAGGTCTGGATGGTGTAACTGGCAACATGACTGCACAATAAGTGGGAGTTGTGGGTTCGAATCCTGTTCTGAACTGATTCTTTTCTTTATGTACCTGAATACCAAATTACTTAATATCTAATTATTAAAAGTAGCAAAAAATATCCTGTTTAATTATATCAATCATTTGGTTTATTATTAATACATTGGACTTAGTGTTATTTATATAGGTCATATGTTGTTATTTCTGGATACTAGGAATGAAACTATGTTATTGGATTGTCCAATAAAATTCATGTTGAATTTTTGGGCTGCTAAATATGACAAGTTGTTTAATAATAAAACTTTAATTAAAAATACCTTTTGATAAAATTCAGATGATTTAGAATTTCCCTGTCAAACTTCATTAATTTTGCCTGAGTTTTCATTGTGATATGTAGATATAATTTTTCTCCAATATAAAATGCATATCTTTTCCATTTATCATCACCACCTGAGGCTTGATTATTGTCTGTAAAATGCAAACATGACAATAAAAGTAGAAAGCAGTTGCTCGACATCGTACTCGAAAAAAATGGTGTAGAAAAAACATCTTCAATTGTAAAGTACATACTTAGGCGTGGATTCATTGTTGGCAAATCTTTTACCACCGAACCATTTTTTCAAGTTTGGAAAGAGAAAATAATCCAAGGGGGCTAAATCTGGTGAATAGAGTGCGTGAGGAAGCAATTCAAACCTTAACTCATTGATTTTGGCCACCACGATAATGGTGTGAACTAGTGCATTGTCTTGATAAAACAACACTTTTTTTTCACCAAATATGGCTGTTTTTTCTTGATTTCATCACCCAAGTGCTGCAATAAGTTCGCATAATACTTGCCGTTGATTATTTTTCCTTTTTGAAGATAATCAATGAAAATTATCTCACACACATCCCAAAAAACTGATGCCATGACCTTGCCATCACTGGCAAGGTCTTCGCCTTCTTCGGAGCCGATTCTTCCCTTTCAGTCCATTGTTTCAACTGTTCTTTCATCTCAGGCATGAAGTGATGGACCCATGTTTCATCCATGATTATGAAATGATGCAAAAACTTGGCTTTATTGCTGTGAAACATTGCCAAACACTCAATTGAAACGTCCTCACAATGCTGTTTTTGTTCCATTGTGAACAAACAGGGCACCCATCTTGCGCACAGCTTTCTCATGTCCAAATTTTCAGTCAAAATGTGATGTACAGCAGTTTTTGAAATGCCTACCATGTCTGCTAGCTCTCGCACTTTGAGTCAATGGTTATCCAATACCATTTTAGGCATGGTCACCTCATTTGGTCGACCACTGCGATATTTGTCTTGGCAACTCGTACGGCCTCATTTCAACTCTGCCACCCAATATTTTATTGTTGTAAACGAGGGAGTAGATTCCCCAGAGTTTAATATTGGTTGGACTGAGACCTTTCAAATGAAAGTATTGTATCACATAACGATGACCAATTTTTTCCATGTTTACAAATTAACTGAGATCATTCACTATTGATGATTGTCAAACAAATATTAAACAACATAGCATCTTCAAACTTCAAACTTAAGCTTTATAAGGTTGATACTTTTGAACACAGTAATTTTTTCAAACAACTACCGCTGTCTATATGTTAGGTTGGATACTTCTGGGATGATCCTCATATGTGGAACTGTGAACAAAAATTGGATTGGAATGCCACACAATTTTCCTGATCATAAATTGAAGGAAGGAAAATTTATAACCTGTCAGAAAGATGAATTGTATGTGTTTTGTTGGAAAGATAAAAGGGATGTGACAATTCTAAGGCTGTGTGCACATTAGGCGTTTTGCGTTGTGTTAAATGCGCGTTAGCAGCGTACACACTGTGCGTTAGCTTGGCGTTCGACAACCATTTAATGGAGTGTTAGCACTTGCTCAGTTTGGAAATGGATGTGAAAGTAATTGCTTGTGTGCGCCTCCTCCATCGTCGCTATAAAAGACGATGGCAGAGGCAAAGAGAATTTTGGGGTGCACCCAATATTACAAGATAGACTGACACATGGAATGTTTCTGACGTTGTATCCAAAACTAAGATAATATGAACCCAAATTTTTTAATTCTTTTAGAATATCTATAAAATCATTTGATGATGGCTGGTCTCTTTTAGATTTCATCAATAAATAGATCATTATCGAAATGATCGTTCTCCATTTCGGCCAACATACGTCCACTCTACCCAAAAGCGCGCGATCAAATGTACAACAACATGGCAGCACATATATCTTAAAGCGCGCAGCTGATGCCCGCGAAACGCATGTTCTAACAAAAATCTATCAATGCGCATTTGACACATGCTTGGCCAGAAGCACGCATTTGAGTATGTACACCTGTGCAGAACTCTTGGTTCTTTAAAACACATGTTTAAAAACGCCTAATGTGTACACAGCCTAAGTATGATGAGTAACAACGAATTCTCAGATTCTAGTAAACATAACAGATCAGGAGATACAATAATGGCGCCGAATTGTGTTTTAGAATATAATCAAAATATCGGTGGAATTGATCTGTGTGATGGAGTGATACACAATTATCCATGCATGAGAAAAATAGTAAAATGGTATAAAAAAGTGTTTTTTCATATGATGGATATTACACTATATAATGCTTGTGTTTTGTATAGCCAACATACAAAAAAAAAAAAAAACAGATATAATTTCTTGATTTTCGTATGTCTGTTATTAGAAAAGTTATGGAGAAGTTTCACACAAGCAAACATGTAGCCTACCACGGTCGACCATCACACAAAAATCCATTATGTTTATCTGAATGGCATTTTCCTAGTTTTATACCAGCAATAGAAAAAAAAAAGAAACATTCAACCAGAGTTTGTAAAGTATGTTCAGCAAACAAAAAGTGAGTAGAATCACATTATCATTGTGAACAATGTTCTGTTTCACTATGCATTGTTCCTTTCTTTGAGATTTATTACAGTAAAACTAACTCCTGAAATAAAATTTTTTGTTTTTACATTTCCTAATATGTCTAGTTTGTGTGTGTAAAATGTAAAGTAATTTGGAACGATACAATAGACACAATTATTATTTTTCTAAAACGTTAGGCTTAACATCGAAAAAATTCAATGTGGAGCGACATGCGATGGAGAAAATATTCAACCTCATATACTTAAAGACATAGTATCCCTTGTTCTTTTGCCTGACAGGGTAACAGCAGAACAACTCACTTCTCATGGCCATGATGACATTTCAGCTTTTCACTTCACAAGCTGATTGGCCACTATGACTTTCAAGTAGTCTTTAGCTTGCATCTTATATTTGATATTAATGCAATATCTGAAATTGTCATATGTTCATCATTTTGCAATTAAACTAGGATTTTCCTAGATGTCTTGCTTATTGTTATGGTTCATTGTTTGTCAGAATTGCATTGACAAACTTTTGCAAATGTGTTTTTTGTTGTATTGATTACATTCTCTTCTCAAACTTCTTTATATTACACATCCCAAATGCAGTTTTAGTTGAATGTGTATATTGTATTCAGTTAATTTCTTGAAAATTGATTTATTATAATTGTCATTAAATTTAAAATTGACTATTTATCTGAAAATTGTTTACATTTTATAAATTTTATTAACTGTGAAAATCTTATTGACATAACAAAAGTAATACCATTCTATGAGAATGGGAAGATAACACTTATTCATAGATACATATATTTGTAATTTTTATCCTCAGAAAAAATTATTCTTGAGTATTTACAATAAGATACTACTTAACAAGTAATTACTTATTGTAACATAGTCACTATGCCAGGCTGCAACTTTTAATCACATTTTAATTTAAAAATAAGCTTTCCATATCTAGTTTCAATTTTCATGTATTTAACTCTGTTCTTGAGAAAATTTTGAATTGAAATCTTATGACTTCTTTGCATATAGTTAATCGGGGCTTCCAGCTTTCCATATCTGGTCTTGATTTTCATCTATCTAACTTTATTCTCAAGATAAATAATGGATAGACAGATGACAGTGGCAATCTATACGTCTGCAATTTGAAATTTATAGCCCAATAAATATTCTGTTTACAATATACTTTACTTTTCTTCTTAAGGAATATGATTTTAAAATGAAATACTTTTTATTGGGTTGTTCGGAAAGTAATTTCATTTTTTCTCATTGGAAAAAACAACAATTTTCTTATAATATATAAATATTTTATTGAATTATATATTGACTATTTTGATCAGATATCTGTTGCCATCTTTCTGGTAGTAGCATGATTCCATGTTCATAAAAGTTTTGATCTTTGCATACAAAAACTAATCCAAGTGATTTTTACATCTTCATTTGAAGTAAATGTTTTACTGTTTAAAAAATTTTGTAAAGACTAGAACAAGTAATNTAATTAAACAATATTTAAAATTATTTTCTTGATTTGTTCTTAATTGTTTCAAAATTAATTATATTCTGTTCTGTTTTTAGACTCCTCCCGCAAAAAGGAACTATGTTACTATACCTAGACAGCATGGAACACAGTTAATGCAGCAGATCCAAAATCAAATAGAAAATGCATCTTGTAATAATGGAACATCATTATTAGAACATCAAGCATTGCAAGGTCAGCCCCAATCGCAGTCAGTACAAAATCTTCATCAGGGGCTTGAGAATTATCGTCATTTCCGAAACAAGGGATCAGGTGCTTCCTTTGGTAAAGGATTTTTTAAATTAAGAAAGGGAAAGCACAGTTCCAGTGCACCTGAGCTAGGTGAAGGGTCTTTTTCTATTTGCACCTTTTGCTTTCTTCAATGCATGATTTCATATCCTTTGGATTTATCATCATCATTTCATCACCATTCTTTTATAGATAAATCATTATATGATTCATTTTTCATATTATATTGGGTTCTTCTATGATCATTTTTAATATTAATTATTTAATACTTAAATATTCTACTAATTATCATTTTAGATTTTTACATATAGAATATAGAAAGTACACTGAATTAAATGTGTAATAAACTAATAATCATTGCAAAATATAGAAATTTAATAGTGTAGGTTCAGACTGGCAATTGTAACTGCACTTGTCATTAAGAAATAACCAGTCAGCAACTTCAAGCTAAAAAGTTTCCAAAAGAATTTGGTAGTTTGAATCCATTAACTATCATTTTCAATTTTTGTTTTTGTATTTTTATGAAGAGAGTGCTTTATAAGAATTTTTCATATTTTAACAATAAGAAGTATACAAAACTTAATGTTTAAATTAGAAGTTATTTACATTTTTAATTTATAATAGTAAAAATAAATTCTTATTGCTCAAATTATTACTTTATTGCTAAAAAATCAAACAACATAAGCTGCAGGTTTAATTTTTGTATGCACAATCTTTTCCACCTAAATCAACATGATGATACATAATTATACTTTCTATTCTGTTTGTAGAAAATGGAAAAAACTCATAATAATGATATAAAACTCAACACAATCAGTATAACATATATTCTGTTATATTTAACAGAGAAATCATTTCATATATTTATACATATTTATTCAATAGACTGTAAGGAAGAGTCTAGTCTATGTTCATTGCCTGAAGGCCAGTGGGAGGTCTCCTTTATAAAACAAATGTTAAGAAATAGTATGAAATTTTTATTAAAGAAAATGGAATTTTATGACATTAAAAATTATTTAAAGTAATGTTTCATGTTAGTCTGTCTGTCTTTTTTGCACTTTGGTTTGTTAATTTTTTTTTAACCTCTTTAAATTTGGTTGCACATCTCCAAGCACTCTGCACCATCCAAAATATTTTTTATTAACATTGTCTTTCCGTAAAATTACAATAACTTGTCACAACTAATTATTCTGTTTCTGTTTTAAAAACAGTATTTCGGTTTGAAATATTCAGTTAAAAATCAGCAAAAACAAACATAATGTTTAATTTTTAATTATAAATAAATTTTATGGTGCTAGTCATAAATTATGTTCTAATTTATTAACCTAATTACTTATATTAGGGAAATATTCAGTTTCTTTTAAAAATTATAATTTAATTCATGTTATTTTCAGTTTATTCAGGTAATTTAGCTATTCATTTTTTTAATAATTGTGTATATAAATATTAAAGCATCTATATTTTCTTATTGAATGATAAACTAATTAAAAAGTTTTCATCATTGCTATGATTTATAATTTAAAACTTAATGTTACAAAATATATTTTCAGCTCAACCAGAAACATCACAAGAATCATTAAGATCCAGTTCATTATTACAAGGATCACCATTATTTGCTTTGAAACAGGATAAAGAAAAAAATAAAGGCATTAAAAAAATTTTAGGAAAGTAAGTATTAATTCAATTATAAAAAAAAATGCAGGATCTTCCAATAAAGAATCCAACCATTTTAAATTATTGTGTTTTATGTAAATTATTATCTGAGATTGTAATTGAGAAAATTATAATGTACATTGGACAACTGTCAAAGTTTCACATTTGTCCATTACAATTTCTCAATGTATGCACCTTGTATCATGCAATACATATCCAACTGGTACTCAAATTCTTCCTACATTTGATAAATGTATATCCATTTTCACTCCTACCTAGCAGTCACAATTCTACAGCTCCTGCAGATTACTCATGTTGCACATTGATGAGTGATTATAACTTTGTAAACAGCAGAACTTGTTTATATATTATTAGTAATATATATAAAACTTTCAGATGTAGTAAATTTTTGTTGCTATTATTGTCTAATTCCAAATTCTTATAAAAACAATTGATTATTGTTAGTAAAATATGAAAAATTATTGTTAGAAAAATATGAAATATTTTACTGACAATAATAAAATGTTTTAAATAATCAATAGTTTTAAATGTTCAAAATTAATATCTGGACTAAAATAAATGTATAAAACTTTACTTATTGTAATCAGAGGTTTGGTAATACATATCATTATATTCAGATAAACAGGTATTTATTAGATAAAGAATAATAAAAAGAACATGGCCGGCATTATTTACATTTAATAAATACACAAAAATTATAAACACGACTTTTTACAAAGGTATATTTACAAAGGTTTTTACCTTTGTAAAAAGTCATATTTATAGTTTTTGTATATTTATTAAAGGTATTTATTAGTTGTTTCTTCTCATCAGCCTTAATTTCAACTCAACTATTATAGCTAATTACCTAAAGTTTCTTTTAATATTTAATCCATGATTATATTGATGATTAATAATAATTTAAATGATGATGAGGATAGAAAACTACAAATTAAGAAATTGAATGAACTAAAGAAATATATATCAGTTTTTAAGACTTAATTTTAATGATTTTAATCAAATAAGTCATATTTTTAATGTTGTCTGCATTATATTTTATTTAGTACAAAAAGATGATCATTGTAAAGAATTATTCTCATCATTTGATACAAAAAGATTATAATTAATGTAATAATCAATGTTCATTTTATTATTATTAAAAAAGAAAAATGTACAGGAATTAATTATAGGTAACAATTATATTCAGATGAATATTTTTTAATAATAAAATAATTGCTGTTAACACTACACATCATTATTGGAAGATTTATTGAGGCAGAGCATTAGCAAAGTTTCTTCTATATGGTTTAACCCCTTCATTCCCGATCATTAATTAAATTGATATAAGATTAATATTAAAATACATTAAAAATACTTAAAACTGAAAAAAAAACGAAAGAAATGTGTTAATTTTGAAGAAAAACCTTCAAATTTTATTTTCCTTTGTTTAGCCTTTCTGTGAAATTTAACACTGATGAGTCATTGTTTACACAGCTGGGTGACCTTGAACACAGCTGGAGTCCAATTTCCCGGGACATTCTCATAGACGTCTCGGGAGGACAAGGGTTTAAAGTAGGGTGAATATAAGTGACGCGGAAATTTTTAAATATTTTTTAAAAATTCAAACTTTTATTGCGATTTCCGACCCCCCCTAATTAATTAATTTTATATTAAAAAAAATATATTTATTAAAAAAATTAAAAAACCATTGGAGGTCATTTTTGACATCAGAAACTAACTTTAAATAACTTTACCGAATGAAAATCTGTGCGCTACAACTTAGGAACCATGAAATAAAATTGATAAAAAACTCCCATTAAAAAACAATTAAGCCTTAATCGAGCCTTCACATAGGCTCATTAAAATCGCGATAAAAGTTTTTTGCGCAGAAAAAAAATTTTGAAAAAATTTGGGGATTTAAAAAACATTCCAAAAATTCAAAAAAAAATTTTTTTTTCAAAAATGGCCTTAAGGACCACATTTTTCGTAACGCTATGTAGGCTTGACGTATATATACGTCAATGGAGACTGAGGGGTTAAGGAATTGAGTTTATTCACAAAATTTGACCAGTTAGTTTTGATTAAACTTTGTCATCTTACATAATATTAGATGAGGAAATTAAAAATGTAATAAAAATCATGGGTCTATGATTTTGTTTTTAAGATACAGTGGGGCATAGCGACAATGTCCTAGGTTACTAGACAAGTGCATGCAATACTTTTTAAATTCTTTTTTGTTTTACATTCAATTCATTAATTTAGCAAGTGGGTAATATTGTTTCAGGGATCCCCGAAACAATATTATTAACTTGCTAATGCTTTGACTTAATTTTTAGTACATGTTTGGACAGAAAATGAACTGTATTTAGTTACATAAATATTAGAAGTGTAAAATAAATCTGGTTTAGGTTTTTCCCCTCTGTACAAAAGATTTAAAGATTGTTAAAGTTATGTATAATTTATGTTACAATAAAAACATATTAATGAAGAAACAATAGTTTATCTCACTATTAATTTTTTGTTTAGATTGTGTTAATTGCTTTGTGTGTGTGTATATTTTTTGAAAATTGATCTTATTGATTTTCTTATATTTATTAGATTAAAACGCACAGGATCACAAAGTTTAGATATTCAAGAAGGGGAACTGAAAAGAGGTGGAATAAGAGCTACTGCAGGGCCTCGTCTTGGATGGTCTACCGATTCAAGAAAGTCTGGAAATATAACGTAAATTTTTTAATTAAACGAATTAAAATTAAAAACTTTTATTGTTAAATTTTCATTCTAAGTGTTTTTCAACAAGATATAGAGAAGCAAATTAGATTGTTTATATACCTAATATAATCAATTTAATTGTTATAAATACTTTATTTTTAATTAATTAATTAAAATGATTTTAGTTTGAAGCTTTAAAACTGTTCCTTGTTGATTAGTTTTTTCAAATTGTTTTTTCAGAAATGATACACCATTTTCACAATGGGATGCTCAAATGTTATCTGAGTGGTTACACAGATTAGGTTTAAACATGTATGTCACTGAGTGTAAAAGGTGGATTAAAAGTGGAGATCAGTTACTTAAAGCTACCTCAAATGAATTAGAAAAAGTATGAATAACTTTTAATATGATTTTTAAAATTTTTTCCTGTATGGTGATTAAGTTTAAAATTAAAGGTCAAATGAATAAATGTTAACTGCTTTTCTGATATACTTGGTCTTTAATTTTAATATGGTTATTGTTTGTTATTATTTATAATTTTAATGAATCTGTTTTGTTGATCAGCAGCATTTAATACTCTGTATATTAATAGTAATTATTAGTATAGGCCATATAATAAACCAAACAATTAATTGGGCTATTTTTGCTACTATTAATAATTAGATATTAGATAATTTGGTATTAGAGGAAGATATTAGATGCCATCTATTATTGAAATTAATAATTATAATAATTTAATATTTATTAAATAATTTAGAATAGTCTGGGAGAAAAGAATTGGCTTGGAACAGGATTCAAACCCACAACTCTTGCTTATTGTGCAGTTGCATTGCCAGTTATGCTATCCAGACCTCCAAGTGATTCTTTGCTTCCAGACACATTTAATTCTTGATATAACATCCATGGTTATGCAGAGAAGTCGTCTTCAGTTGGCACTGTGAGTAACTATGGATGGTTATATCAAGAATTACTGGAAGTGAAGAATTACTTGGAGGTCTGGATGGTGTAACTGGCAACATGACTGCACAATAAGTGGGAGTTGTGGGTTCGAATCCTGTTCTGAACTGATTCTTTTCTTTATGTACCTGAATACCAAATTACTTAATATCTAATTATTAAAAGTAGCAAAAAATATCCTGTTTAATTATATCAATCATTTGGTTTATTATTAATACATTGGACTTAGTGTTATTTATATAGGTCATATGTTGTTATTTCTGGATACTAGGAATGAAACTATGTTATTGGATTGTCCAATAAAATTCATGTTGAATTTTTGGGCTGCTAAATATGACAAGTTGTTTAATAATAAAACTTTAATTAAAAATACCTTTTGATAAAATTCAGATGATTTAGAATTTCCCTGTCAAACTTCATTAATTTTGCCTGAGTTTTCATTGTGATATGTAGATATAATTTTTCTCCAATATAAAATGCATATCTTTTCCATTTATCATCACCACCTGAGGCTTGATTATTGTCTGTAAAATGCAAACATGACAATAAAAGTAGAAAGCAGTTGCTCGACATCGTACTCGAAAAAAATGGTGTAGAAAAAACATCTTCAATTGTAAAGTACATACTTAGGCGTGGATTCATTGTTGGCAAATCTTTTACCACCGAACCATTTTTTCAAGTTTGGAAAGAGAAAATAATCCAAGGGGGCTAAATCTGGTGAATAGAGTGCGTGAGGAAGCAATTCAAACCTTAACTCATTGATTTTGGCCACCACGATAATGGTGTGAACTAGTGCATTGTCTTGATAAAACAACACTTTTTTTTCACCAAATATGGCTGTTTTTTCTTGATTTCATCACCCAAGTGCTGCAATAAGTTCGCATAATACTTGCCGTTGATTATTTTTCCTTTTTGAAGATAATCAATGAAAATTATCTCACACACATCCCAAAAAACTGATGCCATGACCTTGCCATCACTGGCAAGGTCTTCGCCTTCTTCGGAGCCGATTCTTCCCTTTCAGTCCATTGTTTCAACTGTTCTTTCATCTCAGGCATGAAGTGATGGACCCATGTTTCATCCATGATTATGAAATGATGCAAAAACTTGGCTTTATTGCTGTGAAACATTGCCAAACACTCAATTGAAACGTCCTCACAATGCTGTTTTTGTTCCATTGTGAACAAACAGGGCACCCATCTTGCGCACAGCTTTCTCATGTCCAAATTTTCAGTCAAAATGTGATGTACAGCAGTTTTTGAAATGCCTACCATGTCTGCTAGCTCTCGCACTTTGAGTCAATGGTTATCCAATACCATTTTAGGCATGGTCACCTCATTTGGTCGACCACTGCGATATTTGTCTTGGCAACTCGTACGGCCTCATTTCAACTCTGCCACCCAATATTTTATTGTTGTAAACGAGGGAGTAGATTCCCCAGAGTTTAATATTGGTTGGACTGAGACCTTTCAAATGAAAGTATTGTATCACATAACGATGACCAATTTTTTCCATGTTTACAAATTAACTGAGATCATTCACTATTGATGATTGTCAAACAAATATTAAACAACATAGCATCTTCAAACTTCAAACTTAAGCTTTATAAGGTTGATACTTTTGAACACAGTAATTTTTTCAAACAACTACCGCTGTCTATATGTTAGGTTGGATACTTCTGGGATGATCCTCATATGTGGAACTGTGAACAAAAATTGGATTGGAATGCCACACAATTTTCCTGATCATAAATTGAAGGAAGGAAAATTTATAACCTGTCAGAAAGATGAATTGTATGTGTTTTGTTGGAAAGATAAAAGGGATGTGACAATTCTAAGGCTGTGTGCACATTAGGCGTTTTGCGTTGTGTTAAATGCGCGTTAGCAGCGTACACACTGTGCGTTAGCTTGGCGTTCGACAACCATTTAATGGAGTGTTAGCACTTGCTCAGTTTGGAAATGGATGTGAAAGTAATTGCTTGTGTGTGCTTCCTCCTTCGTCGCTATAAAAGACGATGGCAGAGGCAAAGAGAATTTTGGGGTGCACCCAATATTACAAGATAGACTGACACATGGAATGTTTCTGACGTTGTATCCAAAACTAAGATAATATGAACCCAAATTTTTTAATTCTTTTAGAATATCTATAAAATCATTTGATGATGGCTGGTCTCTTTTAGATTTCATCAATAAATAGATCATTATCGAAATGATCGTTCTCCATTTCGGCCAACATACGTCCACTCTACCCAAAAGCGCGCGATCAAATGTACAACAACATGGCAGCACATATATCTTAAAGCGCGCAGCTGATGCCCGCGAAACGCATGTTCTAACAAAAATCTATCAATGCGCATTTGACACATGCTTGGCCAGAAGCACGCATTTGAGTATGTACACCTGTGCAGAACTCTTGGTTCTTTAAAACACATGTTTAAAAACGCCTAATGTGTACACAGCCTAAGTATGATGAGTAACAACGAATTCTCAGATTCTAGTAAACATAACAGATCAGGAGATACAATAATGGCGCCGAATTGTGTTTTAGAATATAATCAAAATATCGGTGGAATTGATCTGTGTGATGGAGTGATACACAATTATCCATGCATGAGAAAAATAGTAAAATGGTATAAAAAAGTGTTTTTTCATATGATGGATATTACACTATATAATGCTTGTGTTTTGTATAGCCAACATACAAAAAAAAAAAAACAGATATAATTTCTTGATTTTCGTATGTCTGTTATTAGAAAAGTTATGGAGAAGTTTCACACAAGCAAACATGTAGCCTACCACGGTCGACCATCACACAAAAATCCATTATGTTTATCTGAATGGCATTTTCCTAGTTTTATACCAGCAATAGAAAAAAAAAAGAAACATTCAACCAGAGTTTGTAAAGTATGTTCAGCAAACAAAAAGTGAGTAGAATCACATTATCATTGTGAACAATGTTCTGTTTCACTATGCATTGTTCCTTTCTTTGAGATTTATTACAGTAAAACTAACTCCTGAAATAAAATTTTTTGTTTTTACATTTCCTAATATGTCTAGTTTGTGTGTGTAAAATGTAAAGTAATTTGGAACGATACAATAGACACAATTATTATTTTTCTAAAACGTTAGGCTTAACATCGAAAAAATTCAATGTGGAGCGACATGCGATGGAGAAAATATTCAACCTCATATACTTAAAGACATAGTATCCCTTGTTCTTTTGCCTGACAGGGTAACAGCAGAACAACTCACTTCTCATGGCCATGATGACATTTCAGCTTTTCACTTCACAAGCTGATTGGCCACTATGACTTTCAAGTAGTCTTTAGCTTGCATCTTATATTTGATATTAATGCAATATCTGAAATTGTCATATGTTCATCATTTTGCAATTAAACTAGGATTTTCCTAGATGTCTTGCTTATTGTTATGGTTCATTGTTTGTCAGAATTGCATTGACAAACTTTTGCAAATGTGTTTTTTGTTGTATTGATTACATTCTCTTCTCAAACTTCTTTATATTACACATCCCAAATGCAGTTTTAGTTGAATGTGTATATTGTATTCAGTTAATTTCTTGAAAATTGATTTATTATAATTGTCATTAAATTTAAAATTGACTATTTATCTGAAAATTGTTTACATTTTATAAATTTTATTAACTGTGAAAATCTTATTGACATAACAAAAGTAATACCATTCTATGAGAATGGGAAGATAACACTTATTCATAGATACATATATTTGTAATTTTTATCCTCAGAAAAAATTATTCTTGAGTATTTACAATAAGATACTACTTAACAAGTAATTACTTATTGTAACATAGTCACTATGCCAGGCTGCAACTTTTAATCACATTTTAATTTAAAAATAAGCTTTCCATATCTAGTTTCAATTTTCATGTATTTAACTCTGTTCTTGAGAAAATTTTGAATTGAAATCTTATGACTTCTTTGCATATAGTTAATCGGGGCTTCCAGCTTTCCATATCTGGTCTTGATTTTCATCTATCTAACTTTATTCTCAAGATAAATAATGGATAGACAGATGACAGTGGCAATCTATACGTCTGCAATTTGAAATTTATAGCCCAATAAATATTCTGTTTACAATATACTTTACTTTTCTTCTTAAGGAATATGATTTTAAAATGAAATACTTTTTATTGGGTTGTTCGGAAAGTAATTTCATTTTTTCTCATTGGAAAAAACAACAATTTTCTTATAATATATAAATATTTTATTGAATTATATATTGACTATTTTGATCAGATATCTGTTGCCATCTTTCTGGTAGTAGCATGATTCCATGTTCATAAAAGTTTTGATCTTTGCATACAAAAACTAATCCAAGTGATTTTTACATCTTCATTTGAAGTAAATGTTTTACTGTTTAAAAAATTTTGTAAAGACTAGAACAAGTAATAATCCAAGGGTGCCAATCTAAAAGCTAAAGGTGCAGGTGAATGATTTTTATTGACAATATTAAAATTATTCTCAACATATGATATAAAAATTAAACAGGACAAGTTCCTCTCTCTTCTGCTAGTGTTATCTCTTGGTGCATTCCAAGGTGACCTCCTTTCACCTTAATTAACTTTTATTTATTAGAAATAGACCAACTTTTCCAAGATCCCACTGATGGTATTGAACTTGGCAATAGAGTCTTTCATTTTATTAAACCAAACGTGCTCAGCAAATAATTAACTTATCACACTACACCTTTATTTTGCTGAGATAGTTTTATTGAAAAACTAATGTTTTCGGCCTACTCTATAGGCCATCCTCAGGCTTAACGATAGAAAAAGGAACATTGGCGTTCCATTAAATAGAATACATAAATTTAAACACAAAAAATAACAGAAAAACAAGAAAAATAACTGAAAAAAATAATTCAGATACAAATACAATACAAAAAAAAAGCCAGACCTAGTAATAGAAAATAATAAATAAAAATAAATGTACTAGTTAATACTTTAGATAAACATTGTAATAAATTGTTAAGGAATATTTGATGAACGAAGTAACTATAAACTAAGGCAA